ATTTTTTTTTAAAAAAATATTAGTCTTTTGATAAATTTAAACTTTAAAATAGACTTACGTTTAGGGAGTCTTTTTCACAATTTGAAGATTTCATTACTTAACGATAAATATAAATTTAGATTGCAAATATTTCTATTTCACCTTTGAATTATAATGAAAAAAATTGTAGGGGTGATATCTATCAAAGGGCATTTTCCAAGTTCACCTGGCAAAGAAAATTTTTCTGAGTATCTTGTTGTCGGGCCAATGACGAGGTATGCCGAAGACTTGCCCCTTATGACCACAGTTTTATGCGATGACCCATCAGTACTCAAATTAAACGAAAAGGTAACAAGAACATATTTAAGTTGCGATACAAAACGTTAAAAAATAAACGGCTACTAGAGGTTGGCTGTTAACATAAACAGCCTGAATATAATCTAACAAATAAAGAACACAACAAATGACTACTACTACACTGATGCTGGTAATCACCAGCCTATTGAGTGCAGCGTTGCGGTCCGTATATCTTCACCAGGGCCGGAATTGAATTTACCTGTACTTTCGACTACGTTTTTCTCGAAAACGGTGAACTTTCGGACATGCAAACATTTACTTAATTTGTTTGTTTTATGATACTCTATCACCTCATGCATGCTTGGAACTTATTTCTATTACACCCACCGTGTATAAAGCAAAACACCACGGAAACTTTTCTAATAATCGCAAATATTGTATAGGGAAACAAGTGAAGACTATTTCACAAATTTATTATAATATCTGACAAACTCATTGTTTAAAATANGAAGACTTGCCCCTTATGACCACAGTTTTATGCGATGACCCATCAGTACTCAAATTAAACGAAAAGGTAACAAGAACATATTTAAGTTGCGATACAAAACATTAAAAAATAAACGGCTACTAGAGGTTGACTGTTAACATAAACCCCCTAAATTGCATTTAATCTAATCTAACAAATAAAGAACACAACAAATACTACACTGATGCTTGGTAATCACCAGCCTATTGAGTGCAGCGTTGCGGTCCGTATATCTTCACCAGAGCCGGAATTGAATTTACCTGTACTTTCGACTACGTTTTTCTCGAAAACGGTGGACTTTCACATCTCTTGCAAGTTCGACACTTATTTCTGTTGCACCCTCCGTGGATAAAGCAAAACACCATGAAAACTTCTCTAATAATCGCAAATATTGTATAAGGAAACACGTGATGACTATTTCACAAATATCTGACAAACTCATTGTTTAAAATACTACAGTTTCTGATTTGGGAGATGCAATATACAAAAATATACCTATTCTTTGGAATAATGAATTTGTCAAAGTTTTATTATAATATACAAAAATATACCTATTCTTTGGAATAATGAATTTGTCAAAAATTATAATAAAACTACGAAAAATCTTAAAGTGCTTTCGCAGTCAATGTATCACACTATCAGTTAAATTTTTCCTAATTTAAAAGAATACGTATTCTAACATTCCATTGTGGATTTAATTGAACAGATTGACCTGTCGAATCTTAAGATATTCTCCGTGAAAAATGTAAAAGACGCATGGTTATATCCGTCAGTAACCAAGGAAATTCGAGATGCTATCGATAACTCTGCAAAGCATTTCGAGGAAATTTATGGAGTGATGACTCGTCCAAAGCGATTCGAAGGATTGGAAGAAATTTTTGATATGGGACTCTCCTTAATAATTGAAGCCAGCGAAAACGCACCAAATCTTCTAAAGAATCCAGACAACAAAGATGTAAGCAACGAATATTCGAATATTTATAGAAGACAACTTTTTACTAACAATAGTTTATACTCTATTGAAAAACAGGCAACATTAATCATATTTTTTGTTGTTATTATTATTATTATACAGAATGAACAGAACCCTTGGCTGGAATTATTGAAAGCAATGGTGTTAATGTCCGATCTAACTCTTAGCGGGTCTGTTTTCCAACTGGCGAGATGCAAAGATGGGTTTATGACAAAAGAAAAAGTGCAAGAATTTGCCAAAAAGGCTGATAATCTTAAACAACATATTACAGTAAGTAAAAATATCTCTACTTATGAAATATTAATCTAAAAATTCATTTTTTAATTTTTTACCCACTACACGCTGCCTCAAATTAATGAGGGAAAAATTGTTGCTGTTGTCACAGCCCCGCCGGGAATCGAACCCTGGATCTTTGGCTTTACGCACCAATATCTCTACTTATTTTATTTACAGTCTCAGATAACTAATGGCGCCAAAAGACATTTTGAATGAATGACGAATTTTACCACAATATTTAAATCCCTTAAAACTAGTGTCTACATAAACATCTCCCCTTCCCCCTCACCACAATTTCTACAAACAAAGCATAATTAAAGCGTCCCTGTTGGCACCTTTTTATATTTGATAGTTAAAGTTCAATTTATACCATTAAAACAATTGAACTTTCAATTTCAGAAAGAGCTCGGTACAAACGGTGTAATATTCGTGCCTTCATTTACCTCCGCCGCTTTTAGAAGCGGTCAAGCTTTGGTAAAAGGGCGAGGATATTTATATTTAATGATCAGTAACGTGCTTGGCCTCCCATCGACTCAAATACCAACCGGACTCAATAGAAAGGGATTACCAATTGGTTTCCAAGTAAGTGAAAACTTTTATACAACACATTATTTACCTTTATTATGTGTATTGTGTATTACCAATTATACTTGGTGTTGCAACGGATTTCTGCTTCCGCTTCCGCAATTGCAGAAGTTCCGCATACTTCTCACATTTGCTTCTGCGTCTTATACNTGGAATGAATATTTAAGAAATCTATTACACGCAGGACAAGAGTTAGGAAATGTATTAGAAAAACTAGGCAGAGTGGAGATAGATGAATTCTGATACCCCACACTGACATAAAAGTTTGAGTTACCATCAAAAACTTTAACGGAAAGTAAGGCACTAGGTGTAAGATGGGATATAGGCGGAATTATTAAAGCATGCAGGTTCGAAGGTCAGAGATTATTTATTTATTTAAACTAATTAGTGACTTTTATAAGACTCCACTTACAAAAAGTACTGTATAGTGAAGCAATTTATTTACCGAACCGTGATGTATCATGAATTTTATTGGCAAGTGTATTTTTTTTTTAAAAGAAGAAAATTCATCAATCATTAAAAATATATTTTTCTGTACAATAATTAAAATTTTTATGGAATGACAACTCAAGAAAATAAAAAGTAACATTAAATAACCAACTATATTTACAATGATCCAGAAGTTTGTTCATCACAAAAGTATGTTNGAGATGGAACTGCAAAGTAGAGAAGTAAATATTAGGAAGGGAGTCAGACAGGTATGCACACTGTCACCTCTACTTTTTAATCTATTCATCGAAGACGCGATCAATATCATTAAAAACAGTACAACTGTAGGGATAGATATACAGGGGCAAAAGATTAGTATCCATAGATTTGCAGTTGATATAGAAGTATTAGCATCTAGCAAGGAGGAATTAGAGATAGCTTTAAATAAAATTGGAGCGGTACTGACAAAACAGTACTGTATGAAAATAAATAAAAGTAAAACAAACATACTGGTATGCAAGGGAAAAAAAAGTAGGGAAAGAGCGAATATACGAGACGAAAAATTAGTAGAAGTGGCTGATTTTAGGTATCCAGGAAGTCAGGTAAGTCAGGACGGAAGGAGCAGTAAGGATATAAAGCAGAGGATGGCGCAGGGTCGTGTCGCCTTCAATAAAAAGAAGTCACTTCTATGCTCGCAAACGGTTAATTTAGAAATTCGAAAAAGGTTGTTAAAGGTGTATGTTTGGAGGGCGGCGCTGTACGGGTGCGAAACACGGACAGTAGGCGCGGCGGAAAAAAAAAGGTTAGAAGCGTTCGGAATGTGGTGTTACATGCGAATGATGAGGATACCGTGGATAGAGAAGGTTAGAAACGAAAAGGTATTAGAAAGTACAGGAGAACAGAGGACTTTATAGATGTCAATAAGAAATAAGCGAGATAGGTTAGTAGGACATCTTGTCAGGCATGAAGGTCTAGTCAGAGACATATTAGAGGCAAAAACGGGAGTTAATAGTTAAGGATGTAGGTTGTTCTAGTTTTAGGGAAATAGAAAAATTAGCTCAGGATAGGAAAGAGTGGAGGTGCGTGTTCAGCCAGTCTTAGGACTGACGACCTTATGATGATGAGGGCACCACAGTAATAATATAAGGAAGGAGTCAGGAGTGACTCTAGGGACAGAAAATGGAGAAATGACAGAAAGTTGGAATGAATATTTAAGGAATCTATTACACGCAGGACAAGAGTTAGGAAATGTATTAGAAAAACTAGGCAGAGTGGAGATAGATGAATTCTGATACCCCACACTGACATAAAAGTTTGAGTTACCATCAAAAACTTTAACGGAAAGTAAGGCACTAGGTGTAAGATGGGATATAGGCGGAATTATTAAAGCATGCAGGTTCGAAGGTCAGAGATTATTTATTTATTTAAACTAATTAGTGACTTTTATAAGACTCCACTTACAAAAAGTACTGTATAGTGAAGCAATTTATTTACCGAACCGTGATGTATCATGAATTTTATTGGCAAGTGTATTTTTTTTTTAAAAGAAGAAAATTCATCAATCATTAAAAATATATTTTTCTGTACAATAATTAAAATTTTTATGGAATGACAACTCAAGAAAATAAAAAGTAACATTAAATAACCAACTATATTTACAATGATCCAGAAGTTTGTTCATCACAAAAGTATGTTAATTAGCAACGTAAACAGTTCAACTAACGATTTAACAAAAAATAAACGTTTTTTGAATTTGTCTTAAGCCGCTTTATTATCTTGTCACTCTGCTAATTTAAAGACTTGTTTTCTTATATTTTTTTGATGTTTTTGACTTTATAGACAGGCACGTGTGTTATACAAAGGCTTAATTTTTTTCCAATTAAAACCTTGACTAAACTTTTGAAGTTTTCAACCAGCATAAAGACAATAGAGAAAAAAAACGGACAGACAGGCGCACGGGTGAGGACCTCTCCGTTTTTCCCTTACCCGAAAACCAACTTAATATTAAAGTTAAAAAAAAACATGTTCTCCCATACATTCAAACTGTAAAAGTAAATTTATACGCACAATACTATTCTGTTGAAAGATTGACCACGTTATGTTCAGACCATAGACTTCTTAATAATTTTCCTGTGATGTTTAAGTAAAGAATTCAAAATTTTAGGTTCAGTAGTTTCGGAGATAAAGGGGGGATGATCAATTTTCATCTATTTTCTTAAATAACTTTAGAACTATTTATTTT